CCCCCCCCGCCCCAGGCTCAGCCCAAGAGACCCATGCCCGGCCCGGGGCACATGGTGGCAACATACCAGCACGCCCCAGCGGGCACCTCGCCACCTTGGACCGACCCGGGTCCCAAGCCCCACCACCACCACCACCACCATGTCCATATTTGGGCATGCCGACGCGGGCCGCCACACTTTCCGAGTCAGAGAGATTCGCCTGGTCAGCGCGGGGGAAAAAAGACACAAAAACGCCGACGTGGCCGGGGGCGGGGACCCCCCGGGCGGGGGCGGGGGGGGGCGCCAGACACATAGAGCCCACGCGCAGGATGGGGGCAAAAAAAAAAAGGAAGAAAAATACCACGCCCGCCCGGGGGCCGGCGCGATCCACGGGGCGCGGGCGCACACACACACACACACACATATATTGTTGTGGGCTAGAAATGTTGAGACCGGCCACGCATTTTCGACATGGCGCACGTGATGCCGCATTTTCGACGGCAGCTTCCCACTCGCGACTGTATTGCTGCGGGCGACGGGGCCGCGAAGGGGAGCGCGCGGACACGGTGGTGGGCCGGTGCCGCGGGAAAAATAAGCGCGGGCCGGCGGACGGGAGGGGGAAGCACACAAGAGCCCTGGCCGTCCTCGAGGAAGAGGGCATGGCAGTAGCCAGGGAGGAGGGGGGGGGGAGAAGACCGACGTCGTCTCTCGGCTTAGGCGGTGGTGGCGGCGGCGGCCAAGGCAGCGACCACGCGCTCGTGCATCATATCCCAGTACTTGGCGCGGATGGTGTCGATTTCATCGCGAAGGAGCTTGGCGATCTACGTGCCACCAGGGGGGAAAGCAAGAAAGAAGGGGGGAAAGGACACTGTCGGTAAGTGGTGTGTGTGTGTGTGGGGGGGGGGGGGGGGGCAAAACCACAGCAGCCAACATGGGACGCACCGTGACCGACGGGGCCATGATGCTGACGTCCCCCTGGCGGGCGGCCCAATCGCGGTAGAAGTGGAACATGAAGGCATTCAGGTGGGGGCTTTGGGATTCCCGCAGCAGCAGCGCGTCGCAGCTGGCGGAGATCGTGGCGAAGAAGCCCGCGTCCCAGGGCCCGGGGAACTTGGTGTACAGCCCGCGCAGGTAGTTCCAGCCGCTCTCATTGCTCGGGGCGGCGTTGAGCTTCTCCAGGGTGTAGCTGGGGGCCGGGGTGGGCAGGGGAAGCCGGCAAGAGAAGAAGGTGACGAGGCCGAGGGGGAGGGAGGGAGGGGGAGGGAGGGAGAGGGACAGCGAGAGAGCGAGAGAGCGAGAGAGTGAAGGAGGGAGGGAGGGGGACAGCGAGAGGGACAGCGAGAGGGACAGCGAGAGGGACAGCGAGAGGGACAGCGAGAGGGACAGCGAGAGGGACAGCGAGAGGGACAGCGAGAGAGCGAGGGAGAGGGTGACAGGGGGAGAGACAAGCAAGCAAAAGAGCGCCCATCGGCAAGATGGAGCGGAGGAGGGCAGAGCAAAGTAGCAGAGGGGAAGCGCACTTCAGCTCGGCAGTCAGGATTTGGCCGAACTCCTCCGGATGATCGCGCGGCGTGTGCAGCAGGACAAACATGCGCTGGTTCCAGGCGGAATTGTTGCGCACGTCCTCGGACAGGAGCCGGTCGCAGTAGGCACGCTCCTCCACCAGCCACGAGGGGGGCGGGTAGGTCCGGAGGAACCACTGCCGGTGCGACCAGGCGTGGTAGTTCTTGGCATCATGCTCGAAGCAGGAGTCCGTGATGTCGCGCTCATCCGACCGGCCGCCGATCGAGGCGACCAGCTGCTGCCGGTGGTACCAGAGCTGGTAGTTCTTCCAGTTGTCCAGGAGGATGGCCTGGACGAACTCGATCTCCCGGTGGGGGTCCACCTTCAGCTGGGCCAGCAGCTTGCGGCGGTATTGCCTGTGGGCGTGGTACGCGTGCGCGTATGTATACATGTATAGATGTGTGCATGTACGAACATGGGTGATGTCAGTGCCAAGGTCAGCATCAGCGTGACGAGGGCAATCGGCCAGAGGCAGCCGGCGCATGCACAGCATGGGACCAAAGGCCCAGCCGGCCCCAAGGCACGGCCCATGCACGGAGCACACCCGAAAAGACAGGCCACGGACCAGACACTGTAGTGCGATGGGCAGACGATGGCCGCGTAGGAGGTGATGAGCAGCGCCCGCATGGACACCTCGCCGGATTGGACGATGGCGCGGAAGTAGCTCAGCGCATCGTCGACTGCCGGCAGGGCACGCGACGCCGCACGCCAGACAGGGGAAGCGGTGTGAGTACAATGCGCCGAGGCAAAAGCCCGGCCGGCCGGCCGGCCGCGACACACGTACACGAGTCACTGTGGAGGATCTTCACCACCGGGGTCTCGGTCTCCAGCTGGGGCAGCGGGGTGATGTCACTCAGCTCGGGGATCTCGCAAAGGAGCTGCGCACAGGCCGGAGGAGGTCAGCGCGGGTGGCAAACATGACTGGCGAGGGCAAAGGGGGGGGGG